CCCCAAAACCCCAAAACCCCAAAACCCCAAAACCCCTTTTTAATATCATAGGTAAATTTTATAATTATTATGAATTTATTAATTGGCCACAAATTGTTAACCAGAAGTGATACGACAAATGATGAGTGGAAGATTATGAGCCAAGATATTTCTATTCAAACAAATATAATCAAGAGTACCTTCCTAAAAATCTATGATGAGGTCCCTTCAGAATTTATACAAGCTCAGTACATCGTATCAGATTTATCATCAGATTCCGACCAACTTTTTAGGAAGATGACAAACAAGATTTCTATGGCCCATTCTCAAAAGATCAAATGGGATGTCTCTTGAAGAATCATGAGCACTAAATCACATAAGAGTTCTCTCTTAGCTAGAGGGCTTAAGCATGTCTCTTGTTTATCACTTATGCATACGGATCTCAGTGAACCATGCTTGAGGTATAGGCATGCTAAAAGGTTGTTCTTCACCTCAATCTCAGTGATAACTCATGAGGTAACCTTTACTCATATAGCTTTCTTACCCAAAGAAGCTAAGAAAGTCTTTGTAAAATGTAGCCAGTTAAAATCTCTTAATTTTCATGATTGCCAGATTGATGTTTCTAATCTTGACATCAACCCAAAAATTAAGTTCAGAATTACAAGTCTTGACCTGACTGGGTCTAGAGAGTACAAGAGTTTGACAAGCTCAGAAGGAGTGGCTCATTTTATTGAATCAATGCTATCATTCATCTCAAAGTGAACATTGAGCTTATCTCTTCAAAAACTATACATACAAAAATGGAATCTTGACAAGAAGATTCTCAATAGCCTCATCAAAAAGTACAAACTAGTAAACATGAGAATTTTCTTAGCAAGGTCTGACAGAGAGTGGGATTCCCTAATTCTCAAACTCCTATGTAAAATATCCTAAATACCCAAATTTCTCTTATTTTTCTAATTGGCTTGCCTGCTTGGGGTTTTGGGGTTTTGGGGTTTTGGGGTTTTGGGGTTTTGGGGTTTTGGGG